ATAAATTTTCTGGAAGTCTTCAGTATTTTGGGTCACAGCATCTATGGCATATTGCGACAACTTACCACTATTCCTGAATGGCTTCTCAGTGAGTTGTCTTCAAATTTAGTCCACGATGAGTAACAGAAATCGGAAATTTTTGAGTGATTTTTTTTTCTCCACATTGTCTTCCAACTTTGTAGTTTCATAGTTCGGAAGAAATTGCGCATAATGGATTTTTAGAAAAGTAATTAATTTTGTAATATTATTTTCTGTAATTCAGCTTTCGTGTTTTTAGGTAGCTCTATGTACAGGCAATTGTATGAGGATGGAAAGGGCATGATAAGCGTGGTGTTTGCCCTTCCACACTCTCTTCAGCGTATAGGTTCGTTTGTTTTGTTATTTTTCCTTCTCACAAGGATTGTTCAGATTACCACCTGCCCTTCGCTATACGCGAAAGAACAAAATTCAGCTCTTCCTCAGTGTTGTTTCGCCTTGGCGTCCGTTAGAAAAGCTGGCGTGATTTTGTTAGTTTTAAGTAAAATGTAAATTTGGACGATAACTCAGTTTTGCCTCAGTTCCGCTCTTTTTTTCAACTAAGAAATAAAAACAGTTTCACCCACCGGACTTCAGTGTTTCCGATAGCATCATCGTCGACCACTTACTTCTGATAATCCGATACCCGTTGCTGGGGCAGTTTAAATTGGCTGATAGAGTGCTCGCTGATTGAGCTAGTTGATGAGTGCACCAGTCGCTGTTTTCTTCAACTAATTCGCTTAGCAGATCGATTGTATTATTAGTGGAACTGTACACTGTTTTATTGCGGTGCTCTAGTTTTTATGCGTTTTTGCTGTGCAGCTACAGCGGCTCTATGATGCACCACCTTCATCCCAGCTGACGCCCTTCCTCCTGCATTCCGGTAAGGATCAAAGCATGCCAATATGACCCAAGTGTTAGGCTACAGCATGGGAATCATTCCTACTAATAGCGATCAGCGAGTTTAATGCAGAAACGCATGATCGGACCAGAGAGCCTGGTTCGTTCCAGTCTGGGTAAACAGTACTCGCCTTATCAGATATGAGCTC